CCCCCCCCCCCGCCGCCGCGGGGGCCAACAAACGTAACATCTTTTTCTCTGGTGATGCCGCCGTCGTGGACACTCTCAGACGTCCAAACACCCGGCTATCATGGTGCTCTTGAGGGAGTTGGTGTTGAGTTGCCTGAGACACAACATCTTTCAAGCGTGTCATATTGCGGGATTGCTCAATTCTAGCGCCGATTATATTTCACCTTCCCAGGTAACAAGGTTCAAGAAAATTTCACCAGATGCCGACCAGTTTCCAATTCTGGTACCCGAGAACTTAATGCCGAAGAGTTGGGTGCTAACCGCAGGGGGCCCATGCAAGCAGCGTGTCTGTCATGTCCGAAATATAAAGAAATGTATGGGAATATTGAAGAGTCTTAACATCGTAAACTTATATCCAGTAATGTCTATGTCAAAGCTCAAAATAAACGTAAATCTACCTCAGTTGTTGGGTATTGTCGTTTCTGCGGCTCAAAATGGCGAATTTGAGCAATTTGGTGGGTTTTGCATTGACTGTTACTACACGTTACTTGTGCTCCTCTTATAAGACTTACGACGTATCGCGAAGCAGATTTTGTTTCACAACAGCGTAGACTTTATTGGGTATGTTCGTCAGGCTTACAGAGGTTTTCTAAGTCTTCCAAGTGTCTTCAAGGTTTCACAAGTCCTTTTTGCCAGTAAAGTTGGTACAAGTTACAAGTGAAGTTGACATAAGTTGCACTCATATTTATGTCAGAGAAACTGATTTACTAAATCAAGGATCTTTGTTACGCATCAAAAGGTGGCTTCAGCTGTTCGAGTTCCCCCAAATAAGAGATTTCATCATCATATCTTGGTATGTTTACCTTTGTAAAAATTCCTATTCCAAGAGATTTCTATGCAAAGGAATGCTTAAAAGAAAAGTAAACTGACAGAAAGTAACGTAAATGCCAGTGGAAATAGAGTTCGTTGAAGTTTGGTTGTTTGTCCTGATTCACAGATTAAAGTAAACCTCAATAAAGATGGCAGAAATACATGTTTGTAGAATACGTCCAGCTAAATAGTTTTTCAGAGTTTACCGTAACATTGCAGATAACAGTAGGTCGTCCGAAGACACTTACGAATCGTTAACTAAACTTAAAATAATCCAAATACTAGAGCATTCATATGAACTGTTCCAACATGGTTCTGGTACTGTAAATCTTTTGTCAGCCAAAACAGACGGAAACACATAAAGAAAAGACTCACACGTAAAGAAGAGCCCGTCGCGGAATTTAAATCCACCGCCGTTTTACCTTAATATGTCCAAGGAGTTTCGTAGTCTCTCCGCCGCTGCCTAGAACAACAAGGCTTTCGCACCGTCTTCAAGTCCGACACGACACTTCGGTCACACTTAGTGCGACCAAAGGACACCGTCAACCC